TAGTCTGTGATCACTGACGGGATGCTAACGGTAGCTACATCACACTAAGTGTTTGGTACCCCATTTAATATGAACACAATTTGTGGTAATTTTAGTTTTCGGTTGGGCGATAGCAGTTACCGTAGTGACTGATTGGTTAATTTAAATAGGAACTCCAACCGATGGATTGTTACATATCTACAAAGAGCACTAATTTTCAAGTATATGCTCACTGCAGTTTATTCGCAAAATCACTTTGTTAATGCAGTGTAATGGGAGAGGTTATTTCTGTCAGTTGCAGTTGTCCCTTTGAACAAGCGGCGCATCTTTGAATTTTAGTATCCTCATCGTTTTTGGATTCATAGCTCTTGAGCAATAGGGCATGGGCTTCTGCATTGCAGAAGTTAAATTTTCTCACAAATGCACATCTGTCCCTTCTATTCATTACGAGTATTCATAAAACAGACATAGAGCGTTGCTATAAAATGGTTGCTGGATGTCGGTTAATGGCGATTGGGTGATATACTTTCCATCATAGTCTTTGCTGAATGATATTGGTGTAATTTTGTCAGAGATTAACGGCGCGACAGAACTGTTAATGTGATTTAGAGGATGTTTGTGTGGCCTAAAATCGAACTACCGCTTAATCGATCAGTTCTTTTAATCTTTATGGGTACACGGTGCACAGCACCACTTCGTGTCATCTGAAGCAATATGCAGGGCGTTACACAACTAATTACGGGAATTACTGAGATGTGTTCGAGATCCTTGAGCCTGAAATGCAATTGCAAATCTGAAAAGTTTTTGAGTACAATGAATACCTGGCACTTGTAGCGGCGGGGCGAACTTTTGGCTGAAGATTATGTATCGGCATCAAGAGCGGGCGGTAAATGTTTTTGTTCAGCCACTAGCAATTTTTTATTTCCAAATTCGCGTCCGTGGTCCAAAACGTTCGACAGGGTGGCGATGTAGTTGGTGAAAAAGTTGTCCTTCGCTTATTAACGACGAGCCGCTGAACCGTGTGCATAAAAATTATGAGAAACTTTACTAAAACGTTGTTGGCCACCATAAGGCACATTTGCGACTCAATTGGCCCCTTTATAGTCGTGAGGGGAGATGGACTGGTTCGAGGCAACGACTGGGAAATTTATCTAATCGCTGCCTCGTGTAATAACATTTATTTGCTCCGTGGCAAAAACCTCCGGAGCGGTTGCTGGTTGTATATACGGAGTTCCTTCCTAATGGAACCTCCGTTTGGGGTTTCGACGCTTAGCTGGATTCGGTCGAACTCGAGGTGGAAATTTGTGTAGAAGGATAATGCGCCCGCATTAAATCTGCGGCCCTAGGCTGAAACTCGTTTAAGCCATGAACCTCTTTCCTCGAGTCTAGCAAATCGCACGTCGTGCTAATCTCATTGCGCATATCGATTTGTTGATACGGCGTTTCAGTATTGAGTCAAGTGGCGTCTTCGCAGTACGCAGTACACCCTGGCAGTGTGGCGCGATCGTTGCTCACAGCTGCTGGAGCATGCCGTTGCTTGATTTCGGACGACGACCATCAGGACCATGATGCTATTGCGATGATTTGCTGAAGTTC